CTGCTTTTAAATAAAAGTTTAAAAATTATGCAGACTCTCATGTAAAAGAGTAAGCAGAGCACTATCTCACTGAACTGAGATTCTAGGATCAGCTTTCTGTTGTTGTTAATCCTCACCAGAGGATATTTTTCATTGATTTTTAGGAGAGTGGAAGAAAGAGGGAAAGACAGAGAAACATCAATGTGAGAGAAACACATTGATTGGTTGCCTCCTGCACGAGCCCTCACCAGGGCCCAGGTCGGGGAGGAGCTTGCAACCAAGGTATTTGCCCTTGACTGGAATCGAACCCGGGACCCTTTGGTCCACAGGCCGACGCTTCTATCAGCTGAGCCAAACTGGCTAGGGATAGGATCGGCTTTCTGAAGGCTATCGTGAACATGGCTGAGAGACACACATGGAAACCACCATTTCAGCTGTTCCCCTCACTTCACAAAAGAGGCAGTTGTGGTCCAGCAGTTCTCAAACCAGGCTCCCTGGCATCACCTCAGGGGCCCGGGGGTGGCAGCAGTCTCTTCCTTTCAACAAACTGCTCTGCTCTTACTTGTTTAGGCTTGAAGGAAAGGTGTTCTGCTTTTAAATAAAAGTTTAAAAATTATGCAGACTCTCATGTAAAAGAGTAAGCAGAGCACTATCTCACTGAACTGAGATTCTAGGATCAGCTTTCTGTTGTTGTTAATCCTCACCAGAGGATATTTTTTCATTGATTTTTAGGAGAGTGGAAGAAAGAGGGAAAGACTGAGAGAGAAGCACCGATGTGAGAGAAACACATTGATTGGCTGCCTCCTGCACAAGCCCTCACCAGGGCCTGGGCCGGGGAGGAGCTTGCAACTAAGGTACATGCCCTTGACTGGAATCGAACCCGGGACTCTTTGGTCCACAGGCGGATGCTTCTATCAGCTGAGCCAAACCGGCTAGGGATAGGATCGGCTTTCTGAAGGCTATCGTGAACATGGATGAGACACACATGGAAACCACCATTTCAACTGTTCCCCTCACTTCACAAAAGAGGCAGTTCTGGTCCAGCAGTTCTCAAACCAGGCTCCCCGGCATCGTCTCAAGGGTCTGGGGGTGGCAGCAGTCCCTTCCTTTCAACAAACTGCTCTGCTCTTACTTGTTTAGGCTTGAAGGAAAGGTGTTCTGCTTTTAAATAAAAGTTTAAAAATTATGCAGACTCTCATGTAAAAGAGTAAGCAGAGCACTATCTCACTGAACTGAGATTCTAGGATCAGCTTTCTGTTGTTGTTAATCCTCACCAGAGGATATTTTTTCACTGATTTTTAGGTAGAGTGGAAGAAAGAGGGAAAGACAGAGAGAGAACAAAGAAGGAAACAACCAGAGGTCAAGAGATCCGCCTTGGTCATGAGGCAGGCTGACAGGATGGGGCTGGAACTAAAACCTTGGGGTCCTACCGCCCATTTCGTACTGGTTCCTCTTCCTGTGCAACACACAGAGATACACTAGGCACGCAGACACACACACTCTCATGCATGGGCCTGTGTGTTACCTTCCTTGCACCTGGAATACCAAGTTGCAACCATATGAATCCAGATGACAGGGTGTGTGAGCCCCCAGGGAGCCAATCCACAATGTACTTTCCCGTCCATTTCTTCCACGAAACCCGAAGTCAGACCATATCACATCCTGTTTTTGAAAATAAAGTTATAGTCCATTAAGAATCAACCAATTCCTCTGTATGGTAGTGTTGCACAAGAGTCTGACGTAAACCCAAACCCATGGAATTAAAATATATATATAAGCTAGAAGAGAGCAAACTAGTGAACCAGCTTACAGGTTTGGTTTTATTCATTTTTTCAATCATAATTATTTCCTACTGAGTTTAAGAAAACAAGAAAAAACACTTCCATGCGCAGAACATAGTCCTACATGCTGACACTTCTTTTATCAATATCTTCAATCTATATTTTCTATTTTTAGAGGCAAACCATTAACAGCTGTATTCAGAGAAAGAATATTTTGGAAAGACATTTAATGGATGGTTTTGAGGAAGATTAGAATGAACATTTCCATTTTTGTTCTGAGTGATGAAAATAGCGGAACATGTGAACATAACTAAGGTCTGTTACAGAAGGGGGAATTTTCGCAAGGTCAGCACCACTGTAAATGCCTATGGCTCACGTGCAGCCACTCCAGGGAGTGGCAAAAGTCATGTGTCTTCTGGATATAGCCCATAAGCTCCACGCAGTGACTCAGCTCTGCATTCCCAGAGTCTAAAATTACACCTGCCTCAGGGTGAGTGCTCATAACACTGGCTGCCTGGGAAGGAGAGAAGAATCTGTGGCCTGATTATGGGTAAATGGTTCAGGCCAGGAACATTTTAAAGCATCTATCACATAGTTGGTATGACACTGGGTGTTTGGGATATAAAAATTAATGCAACGCAGGCCCAGCCTTCAAATCTAATAAAGAAAGATAGTCCCATAAGTGGAACCTTTCACTATAATGTGGCAGATGCTCTGACAGAAGTGAGCAGATAACCAAAGAAGGACGCCTGGTGGCCGGGAGCTTGGGGAAGGCTGCCAATGAACCTGGGTCCTTGTTGAACAAGTCACCACACCTCAGTCTGGAATTTAGCTAAAGGCAGCTTAAAGACATGCAGTATAAAAACAAAAAGCAGGGGTTTGCCTTAGCTAAGAAGCAGCTGGTTTAAGTGATTCTTAATCTTCTTCTAGATACACTCCCTTGGGAATCTAATGAATGCCAACGCCCCTATCCACAGAGAAATGCAAGCACACACAAAATTTCTTATGCTTTGCGGGAGTCGAAGCACTGACTGCAGGTGAGAAGCTCTGTTCCACAGCATTGCTTCAGAAAGAACCACAGAAAAAAGGTTTTCTACAGGATGGGGGTTGAGGGGGATCTGAGTTAATATATGAGAAACTGACAAGAGGTTTCCCTGACCTCTTATCTACCACAATAATGACTAAAAAAGGGAAAATGTTTGGGAATGATTAGATCAAGGTGACCTAAACTACCTAAAATTTCAGCAGCATATTGGCTGGGAAACACCAGAGGAGGAAGAGTTGGGGAGGTGGGCGATGGGGTTGCAGAGACAGTGTGAATCAAAGTAAATTTGTCAGGAAACGAACAGCATTTTGTTTCTTTCCCCACAGGCTCTTGAGAGTTGGGCCTTTCTTACCAATCGAGTTCAGCTACTTACAGGTAGACAAATGTCTGAAATCAATATAGGCCCAGGAGGAATCAGCCTCAAGTCTTGCTAAAAACACGTGATCCTGTTAGGTCACAACATCAGTGAAACCAACACAGGAGACTGATGGGGTGATCCACCCTGGAATCTATTCTCCCAACCACCTCAAGCACTGGAGAAGTCTTTTTTTTTTTTTTAATATATATTTTTATTGATTTCAAAGAGGAAGGGAGAGGGAGAGAGAGACAGAAACATAAATGATGAGAAAGAATCACTGATTGGCTGCCTCTTGCACGCCCACTCTGGGGATCAAGCCCACAACCCAGACATGTGCTCTGACTGGGAATCGAACCATGATCTCCTGGTTCATAGATCGACAATCAACCACTGAGCTATGCCAATCGGGCCAGAGAAGTCTTTAGAAATCATCTATATTCAGAAAATTCTATTCTAACACTGCCCCTGAAAACAGCAATCAAGTGTCAAGTTAACTGCTTACTATAAAAACACTGTTTTCCTATAACTTTCACAAGAACCTATATTTGCTTTCTACAGATACAGACAAGTTTATTTTCTCTTCTGCCAAAAATTGCCGTCTTAAATTATATGAAAAATTGTCATGCCTTCTCCTTTCCCTTCTTTGTCTTCCCTCCCTACCTTCCTTCCAAAAAGTTTCCTCTTACTCCCATGCAGTTAATCTACCTACCTCCACTTTCAGCCCCTGCAACCACTGACTACTTCCTGTTATCACAATATTTTGAAACTGGACTCTACATAACAATGAGGAAACGTTTTTTAACACTGTTTAATTAAAAATATCCTCCAACACCTTCAACAAATAAGAGACTAAAAATCTGGTTGTAATAAATAAAATTCAAGAAAATGTATATGCTTCAATTTTCTTGATCATGTAGAATAACCTAAAAGCATTACAACATTTAAGTTATAAAATAATTTCAAAAACAGTATTAAACTCTAATAGAACATTCACTACGTTTCTACCTCAAAGCTTGGCTTCTGCATTCGACATTAAAATCCCATGGAGTCCCAACTTCATTCAAGTTGGCATCTCTAGTAACTAACAGTGAGCACAGCAAATGCTAAAAATCTGCCCAGTCATTGATCTAGGTAACTAGGTCTATTTTTATTCTCAGTATCTCCTAAAACTGTTCCAATTAAAGTTAAATAATTGATGCAGAATAAAACATCACTTGAAAATGTTGGGCACGTAACCAAATATTCCATAATTTTAGTTTTAACCAGAGAACTGAAGAAAAACTGGTAAGATGCTTATAAAGAGAAGGGTGGCTTTTTTGGCCTACCATGTAAACCAATCACCAAAAGTAATTCCTAAATTGTTTAGTTCTAGAAGACGGTACAGCACTTCATAAAATATTTAAACAATATTTTCACATATGTATTATTACTTTCATTCCTGTTTTACATATAAGAAATCTAAAGGTTCAAACAGGTTAAATGAGCTTATAATAGCTCATACCAAATAGAGGTTCTGAGAACACCACAATTCAAAAGTATTTGTTCTTAACTTATACCATGCTATTTGGGTAACTTGTGATCACGGTTAATTTGAGCCTATCAATTAAAACTTGTCTTCTTCTATTTTTCTCCATATCTAGATCATAAATACATGTAGGAAAACTGATTACACATAATTCTGTAATGAACTTACATCTAAATAAAATAAAGAAAAAAACCCCAATATTGGCCAAAACAATAAGAATGGAATTTTTTAAAAAAATCTTTATTGTTGAAAGTATTACATATGTTCCCTTTTTCCCCTTTGACCCCTTACTTAACAATAAATACTATGTAAAACTTATAAAGAATAAATACTTCAATTTAAATTTCAAACAACCCTTAAATGGACATTACAAATTAGCAAGTACTTAAGGCTCTGTTTTTCCATAGGAAATTACCTTAAGTAACATAAACAGAAAACAGGTAGGCTTGGATAAACACTCAAATTCTTACATTCCAATTTGTTTCATCAGAAAGCATTGCTGGCCGTCAAACAAACCCCTTTAAATTATTACTAAACCGCCTGGTTCAATTTCAACATACTCTCATAACTATGTTATACAGTAAAGTCCAAGACAGTTAGATAGAACTAATCTTCTATGTACTGCATTTTGGGATTCTGTGTCCTGGTGACTTAACAAACTTCCTGACTCTCAATAGCTAATCTGAATCACAACATAACATGGAACCTACCTGAAAAACATTCTTGGGGCAAAATCCCTTTTGCTATATATTGATTCTTACTAGCTTCAATTGTGATGATACTTATTGATAATTATAAAAGGTAACATACCTGTCATTCTTACCTAATGAATCAAAAAGAAATTTTATATGGTAATGTCACAAATTCCCTACCTTCCTTGGGAAGTAGAACACAAAATGTTCAAATAAATGCTTTACTTAGATTAGTCAATGATATGATACATAACTAAAAATTAGTGAGACTTATTAATTTAATTTTCCACTCATGAAAGTCAGTTAAGTGTCAATATCCTAATTTTGATCACCGGACATTTTCCAATAATATTAGTATATTTGCCAGTGTACTTAACAGTATGTATATTGCATGTTTATCAGTGGATGATTTTAATTTGTGAAATAACATGGTTAACACATGGAAACTTTAAGTACAGCTAAGTAAAAACTTATAAAACTAATAGAAGGCTGAAGAGAGCTAAGAATTTCATATCAAGATTAACAAATGCTATAATTGATTAACCAGAAGCCACAGAAAATTTGACAAGGGTGAAGTTAGGGGTTTAAGTTAAAACATTCTTTGAAGGGCCCTAAAGACCAAAGAAATATCAAAACAAGAAATAAGAAAAGAAAAAAATACACTTATGTAATCGTTCAATTACTTACTACGTACACTGGTCCCACACCACTTTCTATGCAGTTTCACTTTCCATAGTTCAAATATATTAAGTGAAAAACTTCTGAAATAAACAATTCATGTTTTAAATTCAACAACCTTCTAAGTAGCGTGATGAAATCTTACACGGAATGGCTCTGTTCCGCCCAGGACATGAATCATCCCTTTGTCCAGTGTATATTCATTCCATAAGCTATCCACCCTTAAACACTTAGTAGCCTTCTGGGTTATTAGACTGTATTCAATGCTTGTGTTCAAGTAACCCTTATATAACTTAACAATGGCTCCAAAGCCATTCACAGAACTTTTATTACAGTATATTTTACAACTGTTCTCTTTTATTACTAGTTATTGTTAATGTTTACTGTGCCTAATTTATAAATTAAATTTTATCATAGGTATGTATGATTAGGAAAAATAGTATACATGGGGTATTATCTGTAGTTTCAGGTATCCACTGGGGGTCTTGGGACATATCCCCAGTAGATAAGGGGGACTACGCATTCAGCACTATGTTAACACTTTTGGGGAATAAAAAAATTATAAAACACAGTCTCTGTTCCC